TTGTATTTGTAAATTGCTTTGGGTAGAATTGACATTTTCACAATGTTGAGTCTGCCTATCCATGAGCATGGTTTTTCCATTTATGTAGAGCCCTTTGGGTTTCATGCAGTAGTGTTTTGTAGTTTTCTTTGTAGAGGGCAGTTCTTCTTAAGAAAAATTTCGATTTCATACCCTGAGCTCAAAAAATTACAATCATACTTTACCATTGCTAAGCAATCAAATTTAGGTAGGGCAAGTCAGGATACTCAGCTTTGATTTCTGACAAAATTCAAGGAATTGAAGATAGTTGAAGTCTACAAGAGCAAATGAAATTTACTGTTGACACTACCAGTTCAAAATGCACGACAGAGTCAAATATTTTCAGCCAAGTTTTCACAAATTTTGTCAATTTGTCCAAATAAGCCTTTCTCTGCTCCACACACATTTTTCACCACCATCAGCTGTAGCACATCTTAGCAGATTCCACTTCAGGTTGCAATGAATTGTTTTCTCAACTTCTTTGAAAATATTCTCACCTGTAGTTATCTCACTTCAACTATTCAGAGGGTAATTCATCAGTCACTTCAAACTCAGCACTGACACCTCAAATAAAAAAGGAGCAGTACTGTAACATCTGTGAACTCATCAAGAGCCAAAGAAACCACTCGAATCATTTGCCTTAATTGACTGATGTTCTCTATGTCCTCAACTCTTTGGGCAACTGTTCTTGCTGAAAGCCTTAGTCTAAAACAAATTTATTGTCACCAGACACATCTCTTAGGCTGCTGCAATCAAAAACAATTAACTCACCCTCAGTAAATGGCTTTTCTTGCTTGGCTAACTAATGAGACACTCAGAAACTTCTTGGTTGCAGCTTCATTTTCATTTTTGTGAAATGCTGCGTGAGGAGATACACTCATTTTAAGTTTTCTAATATTTCTGACCATTGCTTGCCTGTGATTTGGGAATACTGTGATGAGTGGTTCATATGGTAGTGTCAAAGTATATTCTTTTTGCTCAGCTATAGACGCTTTGCCATCTATTTCAGTATCAAAATAATTCACACTCCACTGTGCCTTAAAAGCATGACACTGAAAGTCTACTTTTCAAATTTTGACATGATGGATATGCACTGGTAATTAAATGTTGCAGCTTGGCAATATATGTGACACTTGAAATGCTGCTTAGTTACATCACTGTAGTTTGCAGTACACCGAGCAGTAGTATGAAGTGATGAGAGTGACATCCAGTCTGTGTTACAACTACTCAGTTGTGCTGTTGTACCACAAAAGCAGCCACAGGCAACATGTAAACAAATGAGCATGGCATGTTCAAGTAAAATTTATTTATGGACACTAGAATTTGAATTTTATATAATTTTCATGTATCACAAAATATTCTTGGGATTACTTAAACCATTTAAAATTTTAAGAACCATTCTTAGCCTGTGGCCATAACAAAATAGTGGTGGGCCAGATTTGGGTTGCAGAACATAGTTTAGCTACCCCGATCTAAATAATCTCATGTTTTATTATTGTTACAATGATGGTGATTTGGTAGTATAGAGGCTAAAATTTAGTCAAACTCAGCTAAGGATAACTGCAAAGTGATATCAGTGCTTTCCTAGTTGAACAGCACACAATTATTATCCTAGCTTCAAAGACTATTTTCTAAGACACAGACAATATTTAAACATATTTATCTAATAAAAAATTAAGAATATATTTAGAAGACATTTCAGTTAAATTTTAATTTGGTAATACTGAAATTAAGACAGCAAGGGTAAAATATAAGGTTTCAATAGTAAAGTAACTACTAAAATTTTATGCAATCATACGAACTATTTTACTACATAAAAGTCTAGTGGGGAAGATGGAGAAAATATTTCCAATTAAGTGTTTGAAGCAATTTGTATTTTTTCTTCTGAAAAGGCTTTATCTGTCCTCTGGCGTTTAAGAGGTGGATCTTCATGATTCTCTGTAACAAATCCAGAAAACATTTTAGGTAAGGTATTTAACATTTGAAAATACTTTTAAAAAACAAATAATATAGGCATTTTAGAGATTTTTAATCTAGTTAACTTAGACATGAATACTATATTCCCGTGGACTTAACTATTTTAACGAAATAGCCCTCTATCAGACTGAATAGCATATCATACTAAAATCTGTAAAACTGAAACTAGTCACAATTGAATGGCAGAGGGGTCTTGAACCAAAATAACTAGAATTAGTTAAACTCCTCTTTCCAAATTTAATAAAGAATATAAAATATATGTAGACCAAGAAAGCAACATGAAAGTTATTAAGTTTACATTTGATTTCCCAGAAACTGCTCACCTAGAGTTATGGTCTGGTTCTTGAAGAGTACAGAAGCAGGAATGTGAAAGGTGATGCACAGCATTTCCTTATTAGGGGCCACATTTCTTACTAGGTGAACTGAACTGGATGTCTCCAAGGAAACACCTAACGCAGCTCCGGCTTGTTGCCGAACATCTTCAGCAGGATTAGCATCTTTGGAAAAGCTGTAACAGTGCACTATAGGAAGGAGCTCACTGCAGCAAGGCGGCCCGTCTAAAAGCAATTTGAAGGCACTGAGAAACTCTATAGCCTTTGCTGGCAAGTTCATAACAATGTGCACAGAATGTTTTCTTTCTTTGGACACTGGTCCCAACTGCTGCATTAACTCTTCTCTGACTGGTCCTTGGATAAAGTCTTTCCCATCCAAGTTGAAGACCTTTACCTTTTGGTCCACTTTATTTAATTTACAATTGTGCAATAGCCATTTATGGGATTCAGGATTGAGATCATTGGCAAATACGGTACAATTTTTCTTTGCTATTGGAATGACAAAGGGCCCAACTCCAGCAAAAACATCAAATAGGACATCCCCAGGTTTGAGAAGTTCTGTGATACGGCTGTGTTCTGTAGAGAGACGAGGATTCCAATAGACTTTTGAAAAATCAAATTCATAGTTGTAGTTGTTTTCTCGAACCTGAAAAAGGTATTATGCTTGTGATTAAGATGCTTAGTTCTAAATTCCAATCACTGATAATTTTTTTAAAAATATATATGTGTATATATACAGGAGTCCCCGGGTGGTGCAAATAGTTAATATGCTCAGGTGTTAACCAAAAGGTTGCAAGTTCAAGTCTACCCAGAGGCACCTTGGATCTACTTCTGAAAACTTTATGGAGCACAGTTCTACTCTGACACATATGGGGTTGCCATGAGTAGGAAATCTACTCAAAGACAATTAGTTTGGTACACACACACACACACACACATACACACACACAGACAGACTGCTTTACCACTATTAAGAGTAAAGAACAGTACATTTAAAGGCACATTAACTAGAATCCTGGTATTCATGCTATACCTAAGGCCAGTTAATATCTTGGATTAGACTAATGAGAAAAGTCATCTCTTCAAAGCCAAATGGCCCTCCCTCTCATCTTAAAGGGTATATATACACCCAATTCTCATTCACAGTAGTTATGTTCTATAAAGTCCCTGTGAACAATGAATTAGTGAATACAGAACCAGCCTTGTTTGACCGCAGCTGGGAATGTGTGTACCGGGCAACTCAAATTCTTCCCTTCTCTGGCATGTCCATAAATGACCGTGAAAGCACTGGGGGTATTGACTTGGGGATTACAAATAAATTTTAGGATGTAGGCAAATTTGCAAATACAGAATTCTCAAATAATGAAGATTAACTGTAATATACGTGAAGATACTAATGGATATGCCTTAGTCTCAGCTGAAATAAGCACTGTTATCACCAAAGAATTCAAATTCAAATCGTACTTGCCATAACAGACCTCACACATTATAAACACAAACAGTAGGCAGTGGGGGTTTGGTATACAGGAGAAGACCATGCATGGGCTCTGGAGTCAGAAGTCTGACTCCAAGCACCCTGCTCAGTCACTCCTTGTTATTTCATCTACATAAAAAGAATATTAATAACAATAACCATTATTTTAAGGGCTTCTGAGGATTTGTTGTATTTAAAACATTTAGTTCAGGGCCTGGAAAACACTAAGTGTGCAATGAATAGCATTTTAATATTCTGAAACTATCAAATTATGGAAAAATATTAGCATATTCAAAATAGTCACTTAAAGACTATGTGGCCTAGAATGTAAAAAATAATTATTTTTCATAAACCCTCTCGTTTTTATAAAATCCTGTTTAAAAGATATGTCTAACATTTTTAAGAGTGGTCATTGCTATTAAAAATTTTGTCAAAATTAAGGAAATAGTTTATATTCTAGTGTGGGCAGAAAATTTCACATACCATTAAAATACAGCTGTCTAAGAATTTTGCTTAAAAAAAAGTTTGGTATATCCACTATGCCAGAATATTCTGGGGGTGGAGAATGAGAAAAGTGGTTTGTACCAGGAATCAGTTCCTACATACAGTGAAACCTGTGAGAGCCGGAACTCGACAGGACTCCCTTGTTTTTCTGGGTCTTGCGAGTTTTCTGCTTTGACTAAACTTTTTACTTTGTAACAACTTTGTTTAATATTATTAAAATCATTTGGTTTATGTAGAATTCATCAAGGGAAAATTTTATATTTTCCTGAGATAATGAGGATGGCTATTCAGATAATTAATCCTTAATAAATAAAATTTTTATCCTTAGTTATTTATATTGGTCATATACATTGATCAAATTTGTTTGCCATTGCCATTTTTGACTTAGTCAATATTATTCTTGGTCACATGCATCAAAATATTCTGTATTCTGTTTTTTCTTTTATTTATTTTTTTATTGTACCTTAGATGAAGGTTTACAGAACAAACTAGCCTCTCATTAAACAGCATACATATTGTTTTATGACACTGGTTAACAATGCCACAACATGTCAACACTCTCCCTTCTTGACATTGGGCTCCCTATTACCAGCCTTCCTGTCCCCTCCTGCCTTCTAGTCCTTGCTCCTGGGCTAGTGTGCCCCTTTAGTCTCGTTTTGTTTTATGGGCCTGGCTAATCTTTGGCGGAAGGGTGAACCTCAGAAGTGACTTCAGTACTAAGCTAAAAAGGTTTCCGGGGGCCATACTCTCAGGTGCAGTCTTACCACTTTTCTATTGCTGTTAGTGGAAAGTATTTGTGACTTCCTTTTCTGACAGGTTTCTGCCTTATACAGTTTCCAGCTTTTGCAGGTTTTACTGTATTTTTAATTATTTTTTCTTTGAAATATGTATTTTTTTAATAAAATTAATATATGCTCAGTAGAAAAGTATAAAGAGGATGACAAAGGTCACCAGTAACTACACCAAATAGAAATACACCCACTTTTACATTCTGCTGTATGAGCATATTCACATAGGTATTTAATAAAATGGAATTATGTTATACATACTGTTCTATAACTTCCTTTTTAAATCACTTAACCTGCCAATGTACAATTTGTTTTAATAAATATGGAACTAAATATAACCTTTTATGACAAATAATCTTTAATTCCATTATATTGTTATACCAGAATTTAACCAATTCTCTAGTGATGAACATTTAGGTAGTTTCCAGTCATTTGTTTATTTATTATTTATTTTATTATAAAAACTATAGTGAAGAATCTACCACATACATCATTACAATTTTCTCCAATTACATCCTTAGGATAAATTCCTATAAATGGAATGCTAGGTCAAAGGCACCTATTTAAAAATGCAACATATTACCATATACTCTTCCTGAAAGTTTGTATCGAATTTACACTCCCACTGTTGTTGTAGTATGTACAAGTGCTCACATTCTCACATATTCATCAACGCTGGGTGCTATAAATATTTTTAATCTTGTCTATTCTGATTCTAAATTAATCTTGATAAACCACACCAGAAGATAATAAAATATTCTATACCTTGGTCATCATGTTCTCCTCTCCAGATAGCACTTCCATTTGAAAATTTCGGTAAGTATTGTCAATATTATTGACTTTATTTACTGCTGAAGTGATTCCTGGATTTTTGTCTATCATAACTTGACCTGGAAGAAAAGATGAAAATTCATAATAAATACTGCCTATTGTTTGCAAAATAAAAGCTAAAACTGCAAATATGAAATGGAAAGAATTGTATTTTTAGTTTATAAAATAAAAACTGTACCTAGTGTGTGTAAAGTGACATGCATGTTTAAAAATTCGCAGATTACTAAAGTTAGTGTCTGACAGCCTCTAAAACACAAAAATGGTACATTTTTTATGTATGGGTACATAATGGATACATTTTTAAAGAAAATTTTTTGAAGAGTTTGGGTCTATTGAATATTTTTCCATGCTTTTATGGAATTATCTCAAATGCACCAGCACAACAAGTAAACAAAAAGGTAGAAAAGAGGGAACTGGCAAAGAATGGAAAGAGATGTAAGAACACTGGCCACAAGCAAAAACATCTGCTTGTCCCCATTGGTCTCAAACCACATGTTTGTTTTACTGTATGCTTGAAACAAATGCCTCCACTTTGGAAATACATGCCAGCAAAACAAAGTTTCCAAATAAAACAAACATAAAGATTCTTTAGAGTCTTTATCTAAACAAAATTCTATTTAAATTGTTCTTTTTGTCAAATACCACTAGAACATAAAAGCTACAAAGATAATAGTGTATACCAGAAATGGTGTATCAGTGACCTTTAATCAAAGTGTTATTTTTTGCAAACACTTAAAACATTTCTAAGAATCTATATGCTATCCCATTACATAAGAAAAGATAACTTGTTGGTTAATAGTGGTACTCAGTAATACAAATATGCTGAAATGCGACCCGAATTTGTCCAACATCTCTCTTTCATAACTAGACACCTGATTCTGAATAAGATATTATCAATAAACTAATCAATTATTGCTCTTGTTCTGTTCTGCTTCAAGCATCAGAACTCAATTTTGAAGGTACAGAAGTTAGTTCGTAATGGGGAATGAAATTTTTTTAAAAGGCTATTCTGAAAGTCTATAGTAAAAGCTTTAATATTACCACCATATGGATGTTTTACTTTTAATCAGCCAAGCGCTTTAACCACTGTGCCACCAGGGCTCCTTAATCTACGACTGCGCCTTTATGAAAGAGAGGTTATAAAATAAGAATCCAAACTAATTTTTGAGTTACGGTAGGCAATGACTCACAAGAAAGCCGAGACTTGACATTTGCACCCAGTCACAATGATAAGCATCTGCCTAAGTATTTATTATGTTACCGCTGTACATTATCAGTCCCTTTCATCAATAAAAACAAAGGGAACGCATAGCAGCACAGTTCTGAAATCCTACCCCTGCAAAATACTCAGCACTATGTTTTAAAGTTGAAAATGATTCCCAGAAGTTCTAACGAGTACTCTATATTAAAAAAAAACAAAAACAAAATCTGGAGACTGCAGGTACATCAAATATTTATATAAGGACAAGCGCTTTTTCTGATTCATTTTCTACTTCCTTCTTATCCCAAAGAATAAGGAAGTCAGGCTCAAACCTAGCACTACAGAAGTACAACACAAGCACATTTCTAAAGAACTAAACCAAACCAAAACCTGTTGCCGTCAAGTTGATTTCGACTTACAGCCCCCTTTAGGACAGAGTAGAACTGCCCCATAGGGTTTCCAAGGAGCAGCTGGAGGATTCACACTGCCAGCTTCTTGGTTAGCAGTCAAGCTCTTAACCACCAGGGCTCCTCTAAAAGAGTAGAAGCACTAAAAAAAGAATCAAAGTACAGTGCCTGACATATAGAAGGGCTCAAATGAAAGCATGAGTAAGGTGTCTTTCACTTGTGAGTATAAAATACCCAAAAACTTATGAAACTTAGCATTCACCATAGTCTTGAAGGCCTAATAAAGTCTTGTTCACTAGAAATGAACTGTTCAATATAGCTACTAAAGAGTTCTGTCAAAGTAAGTGACTCAACTTTAATCTATGTTTATATATTGCTGTAAACAAAAGCCTGGACGGATATTTAGAGCTTGCTATGACTCTGGAGGAGCCCTGGTGACTGAATGGTTAAGAGCTTGGCTGCTAACCAAAAGGTCGGCAGTTCAAATCCACCAGCCACTCCTTGGAAACCCTATGGAGCGGTTCTACTCTGTCCTATAGGGTTGTATGAGTTGGAATCGACTCGATAGCAACAGGCTGCGTTGGTTTTGGTTTATGACTCTGGAAAAGGAGCCCAGGTGGCACAATGGTTAAGTGCTCGACTGCTAACCAAGAGGTCAGTGGTTTGAACACACCAGCCACTCCATGGGAGAAAGATGTGGCAGTCTGCTTCTGTATGGGACAGTTCTACTTTGTCCTATAGGGTCGCTATGAGTCACAATCCACTTGATGGCAGCGAGTTTTTTTTTTTTTAAGTGACTCTGGAGCTGAGTCGCTGGGTGGCGCAAACAGTTAATGCACTGGGCTGCTAACCAGAAGATTGATGGTTGAGTCCACCCAGAGACACCTTGGATGAAAGGCCTGGAGATCTACTTCAGAAAAATTAGCCAGTGAAAACCCTATAGAGCACAGTTCTACTCTGACATACATGGGGTCACCATGAGTCAGAATCGACTCCATGGCGATTGGTTATGATTCTAGAGAGGGTATTCTAAAAAGGCACTCTAAAGATGTAGCTCAAGATCCAGTCTAAAATTAAAATGATAAAATGTCTTGCTTCTGTAATTTCGCATTTATAAAAATATTTCTAAAAACTAGAATTAGAACTTACTATAATTGCTTCCTAGTACTTGAACATTACTAATGACACACCTACCAATTAAATGCTTGAAAGGTAGCTGATGATCTCGAAGGTTCAGGTGGGCGATGTGTCCAACTCTGCTAAACCCTGAAGTCACATCTTGGCCTTCAGGAAGCACAGCTCTTAAGATTTCTTCTGACTTAAAGTTTTCATAAGTTAGTTCCAAATTATATTTAGATATCTGTGGATTGACATTAAGCTGCTTTAAAATACTGAGTTCTGTTTTCTCAAAGGAATCATGAGAAAACACTTTATGGGGATCCAACATTATCAGTCTACTGTCTTCATCTTCTGGATCTTCAATCACACGTTTTATGCCCGGGCGCTGTAATGCTGCCCTTTTAAGAGATCTCATCAATTTATTGACTATTTCTTTTCTCACTTTAAGTACTGGAATGGTGACTGTCTTTGTAAAAGCTGTTCTATCAAGTTCTGTCATTCCTCGAACATCAGAGGGTGGTGAAAACAATTCAGAGTCTCTCTGGTTTGTTTCTAATTCTGGCATAGTTGACAATTTTTTTCTTTGACACAACAAGAAAATACCAGGTGTTCCGTTAAGTTTTTGTGTCAGTGATGTCCAAGCTAGTGGAATCGGTGACTTGGACTCAGTTATGTTACAGCTTTCCACTTTCAGAAGTCTTCTCGAGAATTCGAATGGCCTCCATAAGATCCTAAAAAAGGTATTCATTTAAAAAATGTCATAAAGCTACAAACTTACATGTCTACAATGGCTTTTGAGAATAAAAATCCAAATTCTACTCTTTCAAATAACCTGTTAAATGCAGATAATAAAACTTTTAGTGGTGTGTGAGAAGTACACTATATTTTCCATGATAGGATGACTTTTATTAGTGGTAGGTGATAAATTTGTACCTTCAACCCACCTGTTGGCAGTACAGAAAGCTTAGCTATTCATCTGCCTCCCTATATTCAACTTACCTCTCTACCCACAATTTTCTACAGAATAACTTTGAAACTGGAAGGCTAAAACTTGAGTTAAAGGATCATCTCTAAATGAACTGGCAATTATATTTATGACTTTACCAGTGGCAACATTCACTAGGATATTCTTACAGGTGCTTACGGTGTCGGATGCTGTGTTAAATGTTTTGCATACACTATTAATCTTGGGAGGTATGTATTATCAGATCCTCATTTTGTAAATAAGTAAAGTTCAAAAGTAGGTTAAGCACTCAAAAAGTCTAGTAAGGCGCTAAGCAAGAATTAAAACCCAGGTTTGAATGACGTCAGTGTTTGTGTTCTTACTATAGAGCTAGGTTGTTTCTGATGTTTTATTGTCATATGTCCTGCCCCTAACTAGAAGCTTCAGTATTTTGAGGACAAGAACTTTGCTGAGTATTATGTGCACATTCCATTAACAGTACCAATTATTCACTTTACATTCTAGAATACCAAAGTAACTGTAAGGAGAAAAAGCCCTGTTCCAGAACCTTGTAAAACAATGAAGTCAAACTTTCCAGGCAGGGTTCAAAGGGCTCTAGCAGTTAACCAGCTGTGTAAGGTTGGGTAAATTACTTAGTCTGAGCCTCGGTTTCCCCACTGGTAAAATGTGGCTAGCAGTTCTATTAAAAAGCTTTTGAAAAGATTAAACGAAATGCTCAGTACCCGGTACTCGGACACAAACTCAGCACCTGAGCAGGTAAAGGACATCGCGACGTTTCCGCGCCCAGGCGGCGCGAAGCGAAGAGCTGCCCGGGGCGAACTACCGCCACCAGACCATCAGTCTCTTCAAACTATTGAGGGGCACCACGGCCGCCACCTCATCAACTGCACCATCCCAATCCCCGGGGTCGCCCCGCAGCTGGCTCAGTGACCAACCCCCTCACCTCATGCTCTAACGTCGCTCGGAAATGGGTCGCCGGTAGACGGCCTGGATCCCGATGACATCATCACTGTTCGCCGCCAAGGGGAGGGCATCATCACATCGCGCCGTCTCGCTCCTTTTGCGCCGTCTCGCTCCTTTTTCGCCCTTCTGGTGGGGTACGGAGTCCCAGAAGGGCCGGGCCCATAGCTCCGCCTCTGGCCCTGCAAACGGCAGGAGAGCTAGGATAGTCGCTCGCAGATGGACCTGGCAGTCGGCAAGCTAGGAGCATGGAGGCGCCCTGTGGAACCGTCAACGCTGAGCGGGGCTGGTTTGTTTCTGCTCAGCAGCCAGAAGAGGCGGAAGCGGAAGAGTCGAGCCCGTTGCTAAGCAACGTAAGTGGGCTCCGCTAGTTTTGGGCTGGCAGCTTCCCGGCTTTCCTGAAGTGCCTGCCCAAGTAAGACCGGGAAAAGAAGTGAGGGCGGCCTGGGGAGAGAGGAGAAGCAGAAGCCAGACCCCTCCCGTTGCCAGAGCAGGGGGCGGGGGGGGGGGGGGGGGTGAGTCCCAAAGACAGCAACCGAGATTCAGATGAGATATAGCGGAGTTCCTAAAAGCGATTGAAGCCCACCATACCCTAGAAAGAAAAGCTGAAGTAAAGGTGTAGGCTCAGGTGGAAGAGGTGCAGCCCTCAATGAAGGCTGGGTACCCGACTGAATGAGAAGCCGTAGGGTTGTGTGACTCAGTGCTGTTTGTTAGTATCTTTGTCGGCTTCCTGTTTCCACCAGCAGTCTTGTCAGATCTTTCCAAGAGTCACAAGACTTTTCTTTTCCGCGTTAGTCGTTGAGGGGCTATGAACATCTTAATATAGACATACTTAGCGACGAAGGAGTGTAGGTGACCTGTTAATAAGTGCATACCATTTCCCTGATTCTAAAACTTGTGCAGTTGGCACTCAGCTTTTTAACTCAAGTCACTGGACAGTAGCAGTTTCTAGGACTTTGCTCCCAAGTGCTATGTTGGGCAAGGGTGTCGAGGGGGGTATCCTCGCCAATGCGACTTGAATTGCTTCTATTTCTTTTCATGTTCCTAACTCGACGGCAAGGGGTTTGGTTTTGTTTTTTTGGTAACCATCCTTCCAGCTGGACTGACTGAATTTATTAAGTAGCAGTTAATTTTGCAATCCTAGTAAATGGGGAGCAACAGTTTACTCCAGCAGCCCCAAGCTGACTCAGGAATTCTCCAGCCCTACCCCTCCACTCCAGCCTCACCTCATTCTTATCCTATCTTTATCTCTTGCAGTCACACGGTTAGTCATGGCTCTTCCTTAAACCTACCTGGCTTCTGTATTGGTGAGGATGATTTTCCTAGGAAACACTGTACTCCTGGAGTGGCACTGATAGGAGGTGGGAAGGAAAAGAAAGGAAATCAGTGTTGGTTGAGCAACTACCATGTCACACTATCTAGCTGTTTACAGGAGACTTTCTCCGTAACCCTTCAGTGATTTCACCAAATTTGAATTTCACCATCCAAACATTTAATACTATTAAATTTGTGTGCTTACAGGAACTTCACAGACAGGGATCTTCAGGTGTTTCATTTGGTTTCTCAGTGTTTAATTTGATGAACGCCATCATGGGAAGTGGCATTCTTGGCTTAGCTTTTGTTATGGCTAATACCGGTATCCTTGGATTTAGGTGAGTTTTTTTCTTATTTTACTGTCACTTATTTTTTTTCATTTGGATAGTACGCTAAGAAGCAGAGAGATAGGCTGTGGAAGATGTCAGTTGTCCCTTGATATCCATGGGGGATTGGTTCCAGGACCCCCGCGGATTCCAAAATCCATGAATGCATAAGTTCCTTATATAAAATGGCATAGTATTTGCGTATAACCTATTCACATCCTCCTGTATACTTTAAATCACCTTTAGATTACTTCTAATGATACCTAATACAATGTAAATGCTATGTAAATTGTTGTTTCATCACAATTGATGACTTGCTCTGGAAGGTAACCTTTCTCTTCTATGAGTTTCTTGACCTCTTCTGGGAATGCTGATGCTGCCTGCGCATCAGCCGATGCCAGTTCTCCTGTGATCTTGAAGTTCTTGAGGCTGTAGTGCTTCACAGAGCTAGCCAGCCATCCCTTATTCATTTTTTTGTAATAGGTTTGCTATGAGTTGAAACCGACTCAATGGCACCTAACAACAACAAAATAAAACATATAATCTTTTCATTCCTCTCCATGTCCTCCTCTTGTTAAATAATCTTGCTTTCCTTTCTGAGGCCAGGCATGTATTCTAGGACTATTCCTTTTCATCTTTCAAGACTCGGTTACGCCAGTTTGTCCAAAACAAAAGGCATTCCTGCCTTTTTTGTGCTTTGTATATTAGTACTTTGTATATTCATTCCATTATTATAATGTATTTTAATGATTTGTTTGCAAGCTACTCTCTACTAAAATCTGAAATCCTGTAGGACAGGACCTTACCCTTAGCATCTATCAAGCAGTATGTGTAATAGAATAAATGAATACCAAGTTTGTTTTGCTTGTTTCTTTTGTTTGTAGAAGCAGACCTATTTTATTAGGAAATTTAAAATACATAAGTCTCATTTAAGTTTATTTCCTTCCTTATTACAAATTTCTTATTAAACCAGTTTTGTTAAATAACCCACACTTTGCTAATTTTCAAACTTCGAAACTATATGTAACAACTTAGGCAAGACATAATCAGGATATTTTTTGGTCCTCTTTGAAAATCATGGAGTTCCTAGGTGATGCAAAGGGTTAACATGCTCAGCTGCTAACCAAAAGGTTGGAAGTTACAGTCTACCAGAGGTGCCTTGGAAGAAAGGACTGGCAGTCTACTTCCAAAAAATCAGCCATTGAAAACACCGTTGATATTGGTGCTATCCAGTTGACTCTAACTCATAGTGACCCTTTGGGATAGAGTAGAACTGCCCCATAGGGTTTCCAAGGCTGTAATCTTTATGGAAGCAGACTACCACATCTTTCTCCTATGGAATAGCTGATGGGTTTGAACCACCAACCTTTCCTTTAGCAGCGCTCACCATTATGCCACCAGGGCTCTTTTTGAAAACCCTATGGAGCACAGTTCTGCTCTGACACACATGGGTTCTCCATGACTCAGAATCGACTTGATGGCAACTAGTGGTTGAAAATCATGTTTTATACACCAGGATCTTACATACAGATGTATACCATTGAATGTGTGATCACTGAACCATATAAAACTTCCATTTTGGTGATATCAAATTGTTACTTTGTAAGGGCTCTCATGTCAGTTTAATGACATGAAGTTTTACCCCTCAATTTTGCTGCTTATTAATAAATATTAAGTATTAAGTGGACCACAAAGATAGACTTTCTTTAACTATTGGAGCAACTCTTTAAAAGCTTGTCCTGCTATATTGCCTTGAGAGTAAGTAGGAATTATGTGTGTTGTATCTTTTCGCATTGTTAGAGACAGGATACCAGTTGTTACATTGTTTATATATATTTCAAATTGTATCCTTGTAAGTATGTTAATTGCATTATTTTAGCTTGGTTTGGCCTGTGTGTGTGTGTGTTTAATATATGCTGGAAAAAGCAGACTTAATTCAATATTATAGGTGAAGGTGTGATAGGGAGGGCTACACCTTTAGAAGGAGAGGGTTGGAGGGAGCGAAAAGGAGAAGACAGTGAGATTTCACAACTAAAACTTGTTTAGTCTTAGAATAGGAAAAAATAGTCATAAATGGAAATGTTGTACGATCATTGAATTGCTGAACCAGCAGTCAGCAGACAAGAGTACTAAATGAGGAACTTTATTTTTATTTTAAAAGCACTTAGTTTCATCTCGATAAAATTTGATAAATACGGAAAAGTAGAAAAGAAAAAGAAATGACCATAATCCAGCTACTCAGAGACAGTCCCTGTGAACATTTGAATGTGAGGAAATTTGTGTTTGTAATAAAGTATAAAAAAAGAGAAACTTTTGAGGGGGGTTCTGATCTGTATTCTTTTATATTGTAGTTTCTTGCTGCTGATTGTTGCTCTCTTGGCTTCTTATTCAGTCCATCTCCTGCTTAGTATGTGTATTCAGACGGGTGAGTAAAACAATTACGCTGTTTCATGTGGTGAACCAGCCCCTAGAGATTGTATCTGCATACAGGTTTGGATGTCTGATGTCTCATTTCCAATGGGCATACATATTATTTGGTAGGATAGTTGAAATGGAGAATTTCAAAAGGCCAGGATATATAGACCCAATCCTATGGGGAAATATCCAAGGACAGAACGGGAGGAGGAACCTAGTGTTCTTACCTGCCGTTCTCTGTAACATGCACATAGTTTTCTGGTTAGAACAGACTAGGGAGGCTTCTGGAAAGTGTACGAAGTATCCAAACCTTACTTCTGGGGAAGCAGTAGACAGATATTCATTCTGATCGTATTTCTCCTGGAGTGATCATTTCCTCAAGAACACCATCCCAGGTCTACTACTACCTTCCCTACTCATTGCCTGCCAGACAGAAGTAAGGGGGCAGACTTGGAATTGTAGGAGGTAAGGTTACAAAGCTTTGGATTCATTTAGATAAGTTTTTCATTTTTACTTGGAAGTCTGGAATAAGGTGGTTTTTCCTAAATGACAGAAGTAGATAAGTTGAATACAATGTATATGTGTGTGTGTATTTTTTCCATTTGGAACTTTATTATGCAATTCAGTCATGAATTGAGTAAATTCTTTTAAGTTGCAGCAAATAAAAGTATATGAATTGCAGAACTCTTTTATAAGATTTTCCTTTTGACATTAACAGATATTCTATGTCCACCAATCCTGGTCTTTTTATCTGTCTAGTTTCTTCTATTGTTGGATTAGGTTAGTAATGACGCCAAAGTCATAGATTCAGTTCTTATATGGATGAGTTCTCTTTGGTCTATCTTGACTTGTGATTTTTCAGACTTTAAGAAGCAGAGTAGGTACATAATATAGATAAATGTGAGATTTTTCTATCTGAAACAGGAGAGGGAAGCCCAAAGATACCTCTTGAGAATTCTGGGACTTTTTAGAAATAGTTGTAAAACAACTGCTATAGTCTGTTTTTCTAAAACCTGTCTGTACATCAGAAGCTTCTGTAGATCTTTTTATAAACACAAGTCTAAGCCTCAGGGATTCTAACTCCAAAAATCTGAAGCAGGATTCAGGAGTATGTTTTCAGTAAGCCCTCCAGGTAATTCTTGTGCAAAACTAGATTAGGATCTGTAGTTCCTGGCTGTAGCCTATCCCAACACCTTTGGCCATCCAGTTTACAAATACAGGCTCTGCTCAGCTCGGTTCTGCTCTCAAGGGGCTTGGGTGAAAGTGCAGACAGATAAAAATACTAGCAAACAATACAAATATTAGTCTCAAAGTGACAAGTGTTCATAACAGCATCCTGAATTCAGGAATGATAGCAGTAGAGAGTGTATTTGTAAATCCTGCTGAAACTTGACTGGAATTTTCCAGTCATGTTTTGAAATTTTACTTTTTTGTGCGAAATAATTACTTAATTATGTTAGTTTATCTAGCATCTTAATAGGTTCTTTTGTTATATATTCTAATAAAAAATTAATATTTTAGTTAATTATGTGACAGTTATGTCTTCATTAACTATTTTTCTTATTTGGGAGTAATAGTCCATTTGTGGAGATATCCAGGTAATGTTAATTTTTTTCCTCTTCTTCAGTTCTTCTGTGTTTAACTATAAAACTCTGACACAGTCTTATGTTCTTTTCTGCCTGTTACCTTGGGGCATTATAAAGTGAAAACAACTGTTTCTCTTTTTTCTTTTTCTTTGATTTTCCTAGCTTACTTAGGTCCATGAACTATCTTCTTCATGGTTCTTCATAGACACTGATGCACCTGTCTTCTGTTGATTGAATTCCTTCAGTCATTGTAAAATTCTCAGTGGAGGTAGGCTTTCTTTCTTTTTTTTTTTAATTAATATATACAGCAAAAGAATAGAGAATATCATGTAGCTAATTTTTTCCTTTAGTTTATTGGATTGTCATAAAGGAATGTTATGCCCGGATCCGATTCATTGGTCAAAGGAAGGGCTGGCATAAGTCTTTACAAAATAACTTCTCCATTTATTTGCCTGAAGGTAAAAGGTGAGGAGAATTTTTCATCTTTTTAAAAGTAAGGGATTTCATCCATGAAATTCTTCTGTTTTGGATTTTGGGTTTGGGATGTATCACGAGTTTTCTTTGGAGCTGAGGTGGCATATAAGGGACCTTAATATCTTCAGCCTTAGTTGGTTACCTATAATATACTACTTAAACCTTCTGGCTCAGTTTCCCAATGTCTAAAATGGGAACAATAATAATGCCTATCTCACAGGGTTATTGTGAGGATTAAATAAAATAATCCAGGTAACCTAGGCCTGGCATATATTAAATGTTCAATAAATGGTCACTACCATTATCATTGGTCTTTTTCAGTTATAACTTTAGGAAGTGCATTTGACTGTGAGTGATTAAGATCCAGAAAATAGTTACTTATGCAAGATAAAAAATTATTTCTCTCTCATTAATAAGAAATCTTTAGACAGTCCAAAGCTGGTGTGGTTGATCCACAGTGTCAGCAAGGATACAAGCGTCTGCCTTTCTGTTCCCACCATTCTTATATGTGTTTATGTGTGCCTCCCCCCTGCGCCCCACCCCCTACCCTAATTCTTGAGTTCCAGGATGACTTCTGGAGCTCCAGCTATCACATCCACATTCTAGATAGCAGGTGTTCGAACTCGCCCACAAAAGGTAGACCACACATGCTGTATCAGTGCATAGGTAAATGCTTTGCTCACGCAGAGAAGAGACAGAGCAAGATAAGTTTCACTAGTGGATACTGGTCTCCCATGGCCAGCAGGATCCCCCTCCCCTACATGTGGCCAGTACAGGGCAGATGTTTTACGTTCACCCCTCTTGTGCCATAGTCAAGAGATCCGATTCCTTCCCTGCCAGAAACACACATACAGATGGGATTGGCCAGGTGCTATATGTTTCCCATGTATGTGCAAGAGACAGAGAACATTTCCGGGTGCCCAGAACAAGGGGAAGCCTTTTCTGATAAGGAGAAGGAACTGGGAGAGAGAAGGTGACCCAGTTCCCAGCCTCCTTATCGGAGAATGTTCTGAGCCCAAGGCCCTTACATACTTGGGTGGCTCAGATGGGAGGCATAGAGTCAAACCATTCCCCCAACAAGAAGAGTAAAAGGGACTCCTACCACCTGAAACTCACTTAAGACTTCCATTTACATTTTATATCTAGTACTTAGTCAAAATGGTTTCAAGGGGGCCAGGAAAATAGTTTTTATTACAGGTGGCAATAGGACTTGTTACTCAGGTAGAAAGGGAGAAACAACCAGCAGTCTCTGCCTTGCCAGGGTTCTTCTTTGGCCAAGCTTGTAACCCATTGTCCCTGAATAACATTGTAAACCTTTATAATTTAACTACCAGCTATGGGCTGGTAGTTCAGTCCAATCTCCAGATAATACATATTAGCCACAATTAGACTTCTCCACTTAGATATCCCAGAGGCATTTTAAGCTCAGTATGTTCAAAATTAAATTCATCATCTTTTAACCCTGATACTGTGAATGTATTCCTCTTTCTGTATTCCTACCTCAATGAATGGTACCGCCTAGTTTAACTCATATCTCCTTCACCTCACACATTCAATCAATACCAGTCAACTTTGTAAATATTTCTTAATGCTACTGTGTAGTTCAGACCATAATCACTCACTAGGATTACAATGGAATTGAATCATAGCATGCATTTAACTTACATGAATTCAAAAGAGAAAATAGTAGTTTGAGTAGTGCTGGTTAATTCTACGTACATTCCACTCAATGAATAAATACTCATCTGGGGAGTGAGTGTGAGATAAATACAATAATGCTGTTCCCTCTATCAGTCAGTTTTTTTTTTTTTTCCTTTAAAGCTAACTTTTATGGAGTTTACTGTGTGCTCAGTGCTCATTTAACTGATTTACATGTATTAATTTAACTTCACAATAACCATATGAAATAGATATTACTATATCCATTTTAGAGATTAGGAAACTGAAACTCTGAGAGGTTAAGTAGCTTGCTCATGGTTGCACAATTAGTCAGTAGGAAAGCTGATATCTAAACCAGGCAGTCTAACTCCAGAGTCTGCTTTCGTATACATTATGCTACCATTTCTTCACCCTTACAGAAACCTGGAGCTTTAGTCTCTGGAGAAGGTAAACCAAAGGAACTCTGGATTCATAGATACTGGGTATAATTAAGAGCAGGTGATCTTGCTGAAAATAGGGGCATTAAGTGACAGTCTGCTAACTGAAGGGAATTCCCAGTGTCCTTTTGTCATGAGTTCTGAGAATGCTGGCACCAACTTGAGGGATTGGAGAAATACTCTCTATAGACTCTCCCCCATCCAAGAGAAAATACCTATACCTGTAAATAACTGAGTGTCTTCCAAGAAACAGCTGAATTCCTCCTGCTTGATCACCATATAATTAAGCTTACCACTCAATAAGCCTCATTCTTGCACATAAAACTTCTGCTTAGGGGGACCTCATACCATCAAGAAAGCAGTGCCGGGAGCAGAGCGCGTCCTTTGGACCGGGGTCCCTGCGCCGAGAAGCTCCTAGTCCAGGGGAGCACTGATGAGAAGGCCGACAGAGACAGAAAGACTTCCCCTAGAGCTGACGCCCTGAATTTGGACTTTTAGCCTACTTGATTGTGAAGAAATAAATTTCTCTTTGTTAAAGCCATCCACTTGTGGTATTTCTGTTGTAGCACTACTAGATAACTAAGACAGAATTTGGTACCGAGAGAGTGGGGTGCTGCTCTAACAAATACCTAAAATGTGAGAGCGGTTTTAAAACTGTGAATGGATAGACGTATGGCAGTGACAGAGGACCAGCAGCAGCAGAGAACGTACAGCAACAGAGAAGTGGTAGCGGGAGAGAACCAACAGCAGCAGAACCAGGAGACCAGCGCGAGATGGCACTGGAGCCGACCCACGGAGCGAGAGAGCTGAGTGCCTGTGTGCAGGAGGCTTCCTGGCAGAGTGGGGTGCCTCTG